GTCAAGGGTTAAGATCCCCTTACCGGTCATCTTTAAAAAAAAAAAAAAAAAAGTGGGGGGAGAAAGAAAGAAAGCAAATACAGCACACCAACTCTTTCAGACATGACCAATTTATTTGGAGAATTTAAATTGTTTGGCAAAGTGTACACAGGGGCAGAGAGTTTAGGATAATTATGTCATTGGAAGGAAACAATCACATTTTCTACAGTTAATTGACCATGGGATAGTATCTGAAGAAAAGGAGAAACTTTAAAAAATAATTTAGTGTGTGAGGGGTGATAATCATAAGATAAATACTTGCAAAAGAAACAAAACAAACATCCACCTTATACAACTGAGGCATGAAACATGCTAATGCTAATAGTAACTCTTATTCAATTTAGTCCAACACACATTAAGCACATTTGTGCAAGACACTGGGCTAGGTGTTGGGGTTGAAGTGCAAATACAGAAATCACCAAGACGCAAGCCCTCTTCTTAAGTTTACAGCCTAGTAACAGTACATATAAAAATGGTGCTATAAGTGAGGCACGAAAAAACTCTAAAAACATGGAGAGAAGAATTTACTTCCTAGTAGAGGTTCAAGTTGAGACCCATTAAGTTTGGTGGTGTGGACAAAGCAGGTCATAGCAGGCTAAGAAAGGAGGAGCCTAAGCTTGTCTGGGCAACAGGAAATGGTCTAGTTCCCCTATAGCTTTAACTGTGTGAAAAGGGAAGGGGTTTTCGAAAATAAAGTATCTTTATTTTAATTTCTTATCATTGCTAGCCCATTAAAAGAGAGATTAACGGGAAACAGTTTCACAGTTTTAGTGTAAACTCACCCCCTTGTGTATACACATCTAGTTGCTTAAGTTAACACTGTCAAAAAGGATAAAAAAAGTCCCAGCAGTGGCACTGTTGTTCATCATGGCAGAACACCACCTCTCCTGTTAGACTGAAAAAGCTGGCTTTGGCCACTGGCGGTAGTGGGCAGTGAGGATACATGAAAATTAAAAGTCCATAAATGTTCCCTCCTTAATATGAATGATGAAGGCTATCAGAGATAATTTAGGGAGAGATATGGAATCGTTTTATAAGCTAATTGATCTAATTATGACTCAGTATGCTTTATTACCTATTTTAAAAATATATAGAACGAGCACATCATTCTTGAATAAAAATTTACTATGTACGTAACATACACCTCAAAAAGAGTTTTAACAGAACATACTCTAATCAAATATCAGTTTCTTCATTTGCAATTTACACAAACTACGCTAATTATAATACTTTTAGGGAACCTTTACAAACACTTATATAACAAGCTGTTTTAATATTATTCGTCATCCTTAACTTCCAAAAGTTTGGCTTATTTTATCTCAAAGGAATACTACTAATAAATCTCCTTTCCCCACAAAATTAATTCACCACCCAATTTAAAAAAGAAAAAAACACCACAAAGCTCTGCCAATGGCAAACTGGAATGCATATACCTGCCAGGCTTTGATGAAATAAACAGTTTACATAACCAGCACCTCATAAAACCAAAACCTCCTTTTCAAGTACAAAATTCAGTTCTTCTTGCCTTCTCAGTAGTAACTGCTAATCAGAATTAGAATCCACTCCCCTTTAGGAACTGTTCTGGTTTGTTATGTCATATAACACATAGTACTTTTAACATTTGACATGAGACCATGAATAAATAGCTATTTTTAAAACAAAAATGACTATAGAGGACTAAGAGAACAGAGAGCACACCGAAATAATTTATTTAAAAGTAAAATTTGTAAAAATGTGATCTATCCTGTTCTTATATTATAAATTTAAATTAAAAATCAAAAGATGAAGTATCATTTCAGACTTATATACATCAAGATGCCAGTTCTTATAAAAACGTACTTTAGTTGTAAATGCTAGATTATGCAAAAATAATTTTATATCAATTTTATTTATTTTTAATGAATTTCTCCCATTAAAAACATTAAAAGAACATAAATTTTAATGGCAAAAAGTTCCTATTTTCCCCATCTATTAAAAAAAGGTTTTGTTTTCCCTTATTAACATACAATGCCCTATTGTTAAGGCACAACTTTTTAGGATAAATATGAAACCACAGATTAAGTTGATTTTACACAACAGTTACAAGACAGACTTTTTGTAGGCATATAACTAAATACACCTTAAATTCAACAAAGATCTAAAATAAAATCATTGTTTCTATCTAAGACCAGTCAACACATAGCCAGGGCAGGTAGTTGCAGCTACAAAAATCAAAACAGATCCTGTTTTAACCTGTCAAATTATCTTCAGAAGGCCATCTTCAAGGTTATCAAGAGAGGAAAGCTACATGTTTTCTTTTCAGCAGTGGCACTCCACCTTTCTTTACTTATGCTTGGACTATCAGAGATAGCTGTCACTTTCAAAACCTGACTGAGATCCAGTTTTGAATTCAACATCTGAGACAAGGACAGAGTTTCTGATCGTGGGGGTTCAGGGCAGATGTCTGCTTTGCAGCTTCCTTTGCTACCCCTCCCCTGAGCTCCAGCTATCTTCTTTCCAGCCCTCCTCACAGTCACCACCCCTCCCCACCTCCTGTGACACAATTTGCAAAATACTCAAAAAGGAGCAGCCAGCAAACAGGAAAAATTTGCACAACTGTTACCTAAAACATATACACAAAAATGTTGTTACTTCATTATATAGTCATAAACAATTCACCTGAATATTACTAATTTAAAATCTACAAAGAAACACTAAAATTGGGGGAAGGGCACAATCACATACCAAAGACAAATAATGACCATTTTGTAGGCCCTTGTAAACTCAACCAAAATGAGGGATACAAGTATGAAAACTAACGGGAAAAGCAAGTTTCTTCAAGCAGGCTTATCTATCCAACTCCTGTATTTTCTACATTTATATTCTTAACCAACAGGTCAGAAGTAGTGCTTTGTAAAGACAGAATATTGGATTAGACTTGACAGTGTAAAAGCTTTCTGGTTTTGAAGGTGATTTTTCTTTACCTTCTGAGGAGTCTTTGAAAAGTAATGGTCAACTTGGCCTTCACCATGACTAATCTCCCTCACTGGGAACTCTGTACCAGAGACAACCTCAGTTCTACCATAAGGTTTCAGCAGCCAGTCTCAAGAAATGGCTATATAAATGAATGTGGGGTGAGCACTGGGAGGAGTAATATCCTGGCTAAGAAAGAGAAGCAGATAAAGGGGAACATTAATGGGCAAGGGGGATAGGGAAAAGGGTGGAGGAGTTGAAGACAGGCAGAGGAGGGGGACAGCTGATGAATTCTGATGTTATTGATATCACTGCTTCTATTAAATGCAATGCATAAAAATCAATTTTTAGGGAAAGTTATCCTCTCGATAAGGGCAAATATGAAGGGAAGGGAAGGCCAGGAGTTGGGGAGGTGGGAGGTCACTAAAAGTAAACTGCACTTACTTTGTTACATTTTAAAAATAATTATTTTATGTAATTCTGGGAGATACTGCATGCCTCACTTCCTCATGAAGGTGTTTTACTGGTATGTTCTGGCACAGTAATGTTTCATATAAATAAATATAAATACTGTTCCTTGTACTCATACTAGTTCTGTAATATATATTGTCTTTTAGAAACACAAAAAATTTAAAAAATAAACTTTCTATAAAAGAACTTAAAGATCATTAGTGACTAAACTATACCCAACAAACTATTAAAAAAGCATTTAACTCAGTCAATATCTTAACTTTTGCACACAACATACATCGTTCACAAAGTCATTATCTACCTGCAGACTAATGAAATTAAAAATAAACCTAAACCAATCTTGCTTTCATGCTTGCTAATATGAACTACCTTCATTTCCATTAATCATAAAGTCCCCCCCCCCTTTTTTGGCAGCTGGCCAGCATGGGTATCTAAATCCTTGACCTTGGTGTTATCAGCACCACGCTCTAACCAAGTTAGCTAACTGGCCAGCCCTATAAAGTTTCCATTTAATATTTAAAGATACTTCAATTAAATTCTACTTCCTATTGGCTAGTACCACTTCCCTAACTTTGATATACAACAATTAAAACAAATGCTTACACCACAGGACTCTGGCAACAACATACACCGTTGACATCTCTCCTGAGAAAAAAGGATTTCCTCATCTTATTGAAAAGTAAAAAGATGAGGTCTCTGATACTCTTTTCAAAATTTCCAAGTCCTGTTTAAAAATCAAGTGTTCTAAGTACCAATACTTTACATGAATTTTCACTAAACAAAGGCCCACCTAATGAGGCCCACTACCTTATCAAATTTGGGGCCACTTGGTAGAGATTGGCTGGAAACATTTGTATCATAATAGACTCAGAGTTCGCTAATGAGGAATTAAAGTGTTTTGGACAGTGTAACACACAAACACAAAGTACGCACATTCCACCAGTCTGGAATGTACATTCTTTGGTCAATTTTACCTCTGAGATCTAAGATAGAAAAATAAATGGAAAGCTGCTTTAGGGTTAAAAATTAAAAAGAAAAAAGAAGAGAAAGAACCATGAGAAATTCCTCTCCTCAGTGTGTTACAAGGGCACTGAAGTCACCTGAAATAATGGTATTGATTGCCTACATGAAGTTTTCTCATTGAGAGAAACCACATAACCCAATGAAAGATAGTTAACAAAGGAAGGTTCTAGTTATGACACAACGGATAGGTCACAAATTTTTTTCCAACCAGATTCTGCAGACTGAGTAGAAAAAAATTCCATCAAAAAGTAACTTTTCGGGCCGGCCCGGTGGCGCACTTGGTAGAGTGCGGCACTTGGGAGCGCGGTGGCGCTCCCGCCGAGGGTTCGGATCCCATATAGAGACCGGTCTGCTCACTGGTTGAGCGCAGTGCGGGCACGACACTGAGGGTTGCGATCCCATTACCGGTCACGAAAAAAGACAAAAAGGAAAAAAAAAAAAAGTAACTTTTCAATCTTCATTATTTCAACCTGAAGGGAAACTACAGAGTATCTCAAAAGTTACTACTTTGAGAGTTTGGTTAGGTTAGATACATTTTTAATAGTAAAACAACCAGGGCAAAAGCAACCATACTCATTCTTGATAATGAGAGAATCATCTATATACAAAACCTGGCAAATTAAAAAAAAAAAAATTACTAAAACAAATAATGAAAATACGTTCAATTCATGTAATGTCAAGTAATTTTCAATTATAATAGAATCATTTATATTCTTATAGTCCCTAAGAGCATATTTTATCCCTAATGAAAGAATGTACCGAAATCATAGTGCTAACCCTGAAACCTTAAACCAAACCTGACAAGTTAAAGACTAAATGTTGGTCAGGAGGGAAAGGATGGATACATGCATCTTGACAAGAAAAATGAAAACCAACATCAAGATGGCAAAAACGTTGAACCCATAGGTACAAAAACAAAAACACATACACTCACACAGAAATTACGATTACAATGCAAACTATCATATGTCTATATTTCCTACTAGCTGGTGAACCTGTTATTAAAATTTCAAAGAAAAAAATCAATTTAAGCTTTCTATTTTAATCCATAAAAATATTCAGGAACAGACAGATGATAGGGTGTTTGCTGCATATTAATGAATATGTGGCTTCTTGTGCTTTCCATCCAAATTAGGGGTAAAAATCCCCAATTATTTTATTTTCAATAAAATATAATTGTAGTGTTATATTAAACAGCTACACAAAACCAATCCTTCCTTCAGCTCAATATATAAGAAAGTACTAACAAGTATTGAAGATTCATGATGATGTGTGAAAATGGTGACTCATAACAATGTAGACAGCTACAGATTTTAATTCACAAATATATATATGTGCCTTGTGTATGACAACTGTACGAAAATAGTCTCAAAAATAAAGACAATACCTGACACACAAAGCAACCCACTTTCCCTGATCTTGCATTCGTTACAGGGAAAATAAGTCTCTGATGCTTCATAAATACTTTAAAAAGTTCGTGATGGTCTTAACCATGCATAGTCTCCACCAATTCTCTGAAGCTTCCAGCGTTCCTGGCTATTTCAGCTCTGGAAGAGTTGCACCCTGTAATCAGTTATGCTTACTTATGTCCTGTCTTTTCTAGATCTGGGAGTTTTCTGACCAGAGCCTGGTGGTTCATTCTGATACTAGCGAGGAGTCCTCCTTCAATGCCGTCAGAACCGGTATAACTGATTTCTTCACCACTGAGCGTAGTCATATGCCCTCCAAGGGCTTTTAAGATGGCATTGCCAGCACATATATCCCACTTTTTGATGTATGTTACATGGATATACAGGTCAGCTTTTTCTTGACTCTTATCAGGCACATCCAAGAGTGCTAAAACTTTATAACCTAAAAGATAAACACAGAATTTAAGTTACTGTTCAAAAAACTGCAAGAAAGCAACATACTTTTCAGATTAAGTACATTGTTAAAAAATAACAGGAAAGGGTGTGCAGGAGCTTCTATACTGTCTGCAACTGCTCCCTAAAGCTAAAATTATTTCAAATTAAAAAAAAAAAATAATGTGACAGTACAAACATTAAACTCAACAAAGCAAAAATACACTGCAAAGTAACTTCATAAGCTAATCTCAATTGTAACCAAATATATGTCTATAATTTTTTTAATTTAAATCTTTGTGGCTGTTTTCTATAGAATGACACATTCAGTATGTGCCATTTTCTACCGAATGACATATTACACTGAAGCTAAAACACCCACAAATTTCACTTAAACATCTAATCTAGGCAGGCCTGATTTGAAAGAAGAGAACAAAAACTAATACTACCACTCTAAATCCTTTATGTAATGAGGCAGGATTTTAAAAATAAAACAATAAAATAAAACAAATTCAGAAGAAAGTGGGTATAGAATCTAGTTTATTCATCCCTACTGGGTATTTTGGACATTACCTTACCTAACCAACCTAACAGAGAGCCTATAAGAAAATAATGAAACCATATTAAGGGAGGTACATATATAAAATCAGCCAATTAAAACTCTTAGGCTTAAAAGTTAGTGTATTACTTCTTCCTTTATTACTACGCTGAAAAGGTTTTCTGACAGAAATGTTTTCTCACCATAATATGCTATTTACCTGAATTAAAACACTTCTGACGTGTTAAAAAGCACTAATTACAGAAGTTGTCAAACAGCCCCTTGAGCCAAATCCAGATTATGGCCTTGTTTTTGTATGGCTCTCAAAAAAAAATTTTTTTTATATATCTTTTTAAAAGGTAGTTAAAAAAATTTTTTTAAATACTATGCAATAGAGATTGTACGTTGCTTACAACACCTGAAATATTTACAACACAGCCCTTTTCAGAAAAAGTGGGCTGACCTCTGATCTATAATTAGGTAACACAGTAGTAAAGAATACACAGTATGCTGGGTGGGCACTAGACTCTCTTGCTCATCCCAGACATGAAAGTTGAAGAGTTCAGGGGTGTTAAAAGTGACCCAGGGATTATGCTAATAATACCTATGGTGATTCCTGTCATCCTCGGCCATAGAAAGCATCTTTAGTGCTTGATCTTTCCTTCCCCTCCAGGATTCCTACAGTGAAACTAATAGGACAATTATTTTGAAATGAGATCATATAAAAAACAACCACTGACGGTACATTACTGATGGGAAGATGTGTTTGTAGTACTGGAGGAAGAGAAATCACTGTTAAGATTGTTTCTGAAAAGAAGGTCAGTGTGACTAATATCCCACTCTAGCGATTAAAAAGCAGGAAACCAAGCCTGCCTTGAAAGTACACTGTTCCTTCTTTCTTCCCAAGCATGAAACAAGCAAATCAGTCTCCTGACATAGCCTTAATCATGCCAGAAATACTGTGTGGGAATCACACACAAGTAGAAACATACCAGCACCACCAGCGGGGATAATTGTAGTCTGGTTTCCAAAAGTCTGCAGAGCAACCTGTTTGACCATTCCTGAATGGGAACGAGACACAACGATCTTTGGGGTCTTGTCATTGTAGGAAGAGCGGGCTTTCACATTGGAACCACCATCTACCATTGCCCAAGCTGAAATGCAAACATAATAACCATTAATAGCACCAAAGTTTTAAAACTAAAAGTTATACTTTTTGGAACTCAAAGTACCAAGTGACTGACAAAATATACTCTCTTCCACAAAATGATTTGTATTTTTTTCCAAAACAGAAAACTTTATTTTTCTGAATACAAAAGCAATATGTTTATTTTTTTAACATTAAATTAGACACGTGTTATGACAAAGCTAAAATGGGCATGTAATCCCGCCCAGCCAGAGATAATGAATATTAAATATTTGGCTTAAGAACTCCCATGCTCCAGAGCTCCCCGTCGGCATCAGCTCCGTCTCCACTGGGATCACTTTTTAACATTAAATTAGACACGTGTTATGACAAAGCTAAAATGGGCATGTAATCCCGCCCAACCAGAGATAATGAATATTAAATATTTGGCTTAAGAACTCCCATGCTCCAGAGCTCCCCGTCGGCATCAGCTCCGTCTCCACTGGGATCAAACTGCAACTCAACTTCTCCCTGCATCTATCCCATTTCCATGCTTCCCTTCCACAGATGTGATCCCAAGAGTGCTCCCTAATAAACATCCTACATGCTTATTTCCACCTGAAAGCTTGATTTCTGGGGAACGAACTCAATCTGTGACATAAGCATAACTAACTTCCCTGCATAATTCAAATTTTAAAACCGATTTTACTCCTATACTACCTCTACTTCTGATATATTTATGGTTTCAATTATTAGCATATTGGCTCAATCTCCTAAATAGGTTTATAAACAGAAAACAGTTGAAGAGGTGAGTTAGGTTCACACATCTGCTCTATCAGACAGTATTAAGGAAAAAATCTTAGATTTAAAAATAGAACAGAAGTTTTAAAAAGGGGAGGGGACCCCAGAGATGGCTTGAGACATTTTTCTTGGTTTGGAAGTTTTCTTCACTGACTATCAAACTATACAATAACACAAACTTACTCAGAATTATCCCAATTAGACTGCTGTTCTAGCAGTCACTCACTATGGAATAAAATATAGTCCACCATGGCTAGCAATGAAAGCAGCTGCATCACCAGCTTATTCCTGGCTGCAGAAAAAAATCAAAAACATTAGCAAAGTCTGGGTTTCTGAGTTCCCCAAGGATGACAGCAGTTTCCCGGACGCTTCTCACACCTCCTTCGAAACACCATACACGGTAACAAGGAGAGCAAATATAAACACCATGATCTATATCTACAGAGTAAGTAGGAGACAGAGGAGAGCTATAAACACAAATGTATGAGAAAGCAGAGGAGTAAACACTGATGATCAGCAGAATAAGCGACGGAGCTGATCCCAGCATGGGGATTCCAGCAGGAGCTCCACAGAAGTGCCAAGAGGTCATAGAACTCTCCATGGTGGTAGAACTCAGATAACATATCAGCCGGATTTCTCTCCAGAAAAAAAAAGTCCCATCTAAAATGGCAACTATGGAAAGTAGGCCTGAAACTTGGTAACAAGCACCAAGAAGAGGAGGCTTAGAGATGTGGGACCAGAAGTGTAGACTTGAGAACACCTGGGGGAGGGAAAGAGGGAAGATGAAGCAAGACAGCTTTTAGAATTTGGAAGGCAGCAACTAGAGCTAAAGAGAAAGAAGAAGTTTAAGATAGAGGCCTTCCTGAACAATGTAACATCAAATAAGAAAGAAGAAATCTGAAAACAAAAAAGTATACCTGATAGTAAAGACAAAGCCTTCCCCACACTAACAGAAAAGAAAGCTCCTGGACTCAGAATCATCCAGACTCTGCACAGTGTCACTTTCCAATGATCCCACAGTAGCTGGCTTATTCAAATACGAATAAGAAATATAAAACTGCAATGTCTATTGAAAAATACAAGAAGAAAACACAGAGAATGCAGATTAAAACATTCCAGGCTAGGGGCCGGCCCGGTGGTGCACTGCTACAGTGCGCTGCTTGGGAGCGCGGTGGCGCTCCCGCCGAGGGTTCGGATCCCACATACAGACCGGTTCCCGCTCACTGGCTGAGCGAGGTGCGGGCGCAACACCGAGGGTTGCGATCCATTGCCGGGCACGAAAAAAGAATTCCCGCTCACTGGCTGAGCGAGGTGCGGGCACAACACCGAGGGTTGCGATCCATTGCCGGGCACGAAAAAAAAAAAAAAAAAAAAAAACATTCCAGGCTACTCAAAAATTTCCACAAAGCGCAACTATAAACCAATATTCCAACATGATTTAAAATAAAAAAGCAACAAAATATAAGAGGAACACCATGAAACAAAAACCAACAACTCAAAAAAATAGACAAACAATAGGAAGATGAGAACTCACATTAACACAGGAAAGAATATAAAAAAAATGTACAAAATCACTGCAGACTTAGCACTAAATCAATCACAGGACACACAAAGGACAAAAGATCTGTTCAAAAACAGAGCAAACAATGAGAAAAGCACACAAGTGAAACAAGTAAACAGATGAAAGGGCCCATAGAGAAAATAGCAGCCAGTGAAAGAAGAATCAACATACTAATAAAACAAGTTCCTGAAAAAGAAAAACTAGTGAGATAAAATCTTTGAAATTACAAATCAAGAAAATGTCCCTGAAATAAAAGAGGACCTAAATGTCTATGCTGAGAGATATACTGAATAGCTGGGAAATGTATCCAGAATGCCAACTCTCAGACATATCATAGGCATATTACTAGACTTTAAAGATAAAAGTTCTTTGGCACTTACTCCACGCAAAAAGACCAAGACATTTACTAAGGAAAAGAAAATCAGCTTCGTATCAGCCTTTTTGCCAACAGAGTCCACACACACACACACACACACACACACACACACACACACACACACACACACACACGAGTTCAACAGTTTCTACAAATCAATCAATAAAAAAGGGTGTAGAGTGGGTTGAACAGATCCTACCAAAATTCATGTCCACCTGGGACCTTCAGAATGTCACCTCATTTGGAAACAGGGTCCTTGAAGATGTGATTAGTTAAACTGAGGTATACTGGATTAAGGTGGGCTCTATATCTAATGACTGGTGTCCTTATAAGAAGAGGGGAGAGGAGACAGAGGGGAGAATGCCATGCAAAGGCAGAGACTGGAGTGTTGGGTCTACAGACTGAGGAATGCTAAGAATGTCTGGAGCCACCAGAAATAGGAAGAGAAAAGGAAGGTTTCTTCTTCCTCAATGCTGCACAGAGAGCATGGCCTTATTGACTCCTTGGTATCAAACTTCTGGCCTCCAGAACTGCAAGATAACAAGTTTCTGTTATTTTAAGTCACCACACTTTGTGGTAATTTGTTATGGCAGCCCTAGGAAACTAATACAAGGTAAAACAAAGACTGTATAACTAGCCAAGTAGTCTTTCAAGTATCAAGGCTATAGAAATAGTTTTAAATATATACTCAGGTATCATCATACCCATGAGCTAGCTCTTCTGAAGTAATCTATTAGAAGATAAGCTTTATACAACCAAGAGATGACTGAGGAACCTTAACAAAAGTACTGTTGGTTAGCATTGAATAAATTTAACTGTGAATATAAGAGGAAACCAAAGATAGGAATACGGTGGAAGAATATAGGTGTGTAAATGTTATCTTATAGTTGACTGGTGAAAGTCAAAGGATACCATTAAAATCTGATAAGATGGAAGACACAGAGGATGCCCAGGGTCTGAAGGCAGGAGCCGAGGGCCAGCCCCCTATGCTCAGAAGCAGGCAAGAAACAGAGAACACCTGGGGTCCTTAGGCAGGAGCTGAGGGCCAGCCCCTTCCATGCGGAAGGAGGCAAGAAACAGAGCACACCTGGAGTCCTAAGGCAGGAGCCAAGGGCAGCATCTCCATGAGGACACTAAAAACACCATTTCCACATGTGTGGTCCACCAGTTACCTCCACAGCCACAGCTGCCACAAAAGCGGCAGAGCCAGAGCAGTAGCCACAACTACTATGCAGGCAGCCTACCAGACACTTAACTACATTGACACAAGGAGAGTCACCAATGGAGAACAGAAAAAGAGCACATCACTTTCCTTAAAGCCCACTCCAGAGTAATAGAAGAAGCAACTGCTCTACCAGGTAAACAGACATCAATATAGAGGTACTAGAAATACAAAAACCCAAGAAAATATGACACCACAAAAAGAATAACAGTAATTCTCAAATACCAGACCCTATAGAGCAGGAAACCCTTGAAATGGATGAAAAGGAATTCTGACCAACAGTCTTAAGAAAACTCATCACTGAGATAGGAGAAGACTCAGACAACACAATGAGACAAGAAAAAAAAAACCTGGGATCTGAAGAAGGAAATTTACAAAGAGATTAATATCTTTAAAAAGAATGTAGCATTTTAATATACAAGCATAAATTTTCCTTTAAGCACTGCATGAGGCCTGCATCCTATAAATTTTAATAGGTTGCACTTTGATTTTTATCTCAAAGTACTTTCTAATTTCCCTGTGATATTTCTCTTTACCCATTGCTTATTTAGGAGAGTGTTGTTTAATTTCCACACATTTGTGAATTTTCTAAATTTCCTTCTGTTATTGTGGTCAGAGAACATATTTTCTATTATCTTAGTCTTTTTAAATGTATTAAGACTTGTTTTGTGGCCAAAAGTAAAATAATACATAAATAATAAATAATAAATAAATAAATCTGATGAGATGAATAGCAGAGTTGAAAGATAAACATCATGGGCCGGCCCGGTGGCGCACTGGAGAGTGCGCCGCTTGGGAGTGTGGCGGCGCTCCCACCGAGGGTTCGGATCCCATGTGGAGACCGGTTCCCGCTCACTGGCTGAGCGCGGTGCAGGCGCAACACCGAGGGTTGCGATCCCATTGCCGGTCCCCGGTATGGGTGCGACACGGAGGGTTGCAGCTCACTGGCTGAGCGCGGTGCAGGCGCAACACCGAGGGTTGCGATTCCATTGCCGGTCCCCGGTATGGGTGCGACACGGAGGGTTGCAATCCCGCTACCGGTCAGTAAAAAAGACAAAAAGGAAAAAA